TAAATCTTTACATGGAATTTAAATTCAAGAGTTGAGTCTTTTTCAGACTCTGGCCCTACCTGTTTGTCTGTTTGCTCCTCCTTTTTCCTATAACCCCCCTTTTCCTTCCATCCCCACCCAACCCTGAGCCCATCTGCCTTTTTTTGCATAAGTGACCTTTGAAATTCAGGCTACATAGATATTTGCTGAATCAGCAGGACCAACTGCTGAGCCTCTTGCTTGGTTTCAGGCCAAGGGGAAATGTGTAAGTATGCTTTTGGGAGGTCCTCTGGGCTGGGAAGGGCTGGGGGTGTGGAAGGAGAGACCTGGCATGGAGCAAGGCACAGGGAGTTCCAAGAGGGCAGAGAATGACTGGTTTCTCTAAATGACGTTCTTTTTGGATGAAAGGGAGGGAGGAGGAGCAGCAGTCTAGGCCCTTGGAAGTAAGGAACAGCAAATGTATTACAGGCATCCAACCTGCATCACCTTCCAGGAATGTGCAAAAAGACGCACAGTCCCTCCTCTCAGTGAGTCTTCATTCTGGCCCATTTCCAACTTAAAGATTGGGAGTCCCCTCCCTGGTGGAAACAGGAGAAGAAAAAAATGATAGGCAGATTGGTGAGCCTTGGCCAAACAAGGTTTCCTTAGCAGCCAGGCCTTCTAGGCACAGATAGACAAAGGCCCCATGTGCTAAGGTGTTTCCCCTGGGGAAGAAGGATTGGAAGAATGAGGACTATACCATCCAAAAATGGAATGACATCACAACGCGATACAGATATCTCCCAGGATGGAATCTGCTGGGCTGTGTTTCCTTTCCAGCTATCTTTGTCTCTTACTAATTCCCTGACATGAACCCTTAACTCCAACCAAGAAAATCTTCTCTCTGGCTCAGAATCTGATTTGTGCACCTACCCTTTCTATCCTGTGCTGTTCTGATAGAAGGTAGCTCTAGCAGTTCAAAATGCTTATACTCGCTTCGATATTTCTCATGTATATTGAGCAAGGACTGCTTGTTTCTTTCCCATCTTTCCACAGCATAGGATCTAAGATTTTGGACAGTCTGGACACTTGATGCATTTAGTTGACTGATAGACCTTCTCACTTTTAATAGCTTTCTGGATGAGCCAGTCATGTGTTGCCACCTTGAAGCAGACAGTCCTATCAACATCTTAGACAACTCAGGCTAAAAGGTACATCCAGAGATCTGCTCTCCATCCCCAGGCTCCAGCCAGCATGAAACTATGGAGCTCCAAAGATGACTCAAGATTTATTTCATACGGGGCTGGTGGTGTAGCTCAGTGCTAGAGCACTTTCCCAGCATGCGCAAAGTTCAATCTCTAGCACCAAAAAAAAAAAAAAAAAAAAAAAGATTATGTCACTCCTAAAAGATGAGGGCAGAGAGGAAAGAGACTGCCCTGTGGACCTTAAGTAGAAGCAAAGACAGAAGGAAGCAAAGATGGGAGAGAAGGTGTTCAAGGAGAGGGAAGAAAGAGGAAGACAAGGGAAGAAAGAAAAAAAGAAGACAGGAGTTACTATGCCACTCAGACTTGATAGGCACGCTAAGGTGGGGAGCTCTGAGTAAAAGCTTTATTTGAAGTTCAGTGCAAGAATCTTAGCAGATTATCTGTCTGCACCTGGAGACATGGGCAAGCCCTGAGTGCATGAGTGAGTGGGTGAGCGAATGTGTCAGAAAAGCTGTGGTCACATGGAAGCTTAGCGGGATGCGACACAGACAGGATCATATACTTCCATAGCAAGGGGACTCTGCTAGGTCAGGCTGAGGCCTGGCTCCAGCAGCCAGGAAAGGGATAATAATCCATTCTGTAGATGCTGTGAGCCTTGATTGAAAAAATAAAGAGGAGGAAGCTGTGTTTGCTGCTTTCATTAAAAAGCATAAGCAGTGGGGGCTGGAGCTTAGCAAGAGTCAGGAAGCATGCAGAGAAAGAATTTTAACCCCTCAACGGTTTTCCTCCATAATATCTCTCTGCTCAACCTCGTTGCTGCTTCTTTAGCCTGACCTCTATGGCCATCCCCTTTGTGTGTCCCTTAGCTGAAAAAGAGAAAGACACCAGGCTACATATTAATTAACACGGATCAGATGGCAATTAAATGATCCATCATTTCCCAGTCCTAGGGTTCCTGCCTCTCCTTGGCATTGGTCAGGAGGGGGAGTTCTGGGGATAGGACGCAAACTGTGTGGTGAGAGAATGCAGCTGTGTAGTGCGTGGCCCTTTGAATCCTTCAACCAGTCCAGTTACCTCATTGGGGACACATTCTACCCTATAATGAGGCCAGAGAAGAATAGGCAAGATTTATGCAAAAATAAGATTCGAAGTCCTCTCTGCCATCTCTTCCTCCTCCTTCAGCAAGCTCAGTAGAGAACTGATTCAGCAGGGAGCTCCCTGGAGAAATGCCAGGTTGGGGGTGTGTGTGAGGGAAGGGACTGCTGGCTCTGTTCTCCTTCTCTTTCCCTCACCCTATGAGTGGAGATCTTTCCTGCTTGCTGGCTCCATCTAGCCCTACACTCTAGAGAGGTATGTACAGAGGAGAGCAAACATTCAAGATGGGGGCCTGTGGCTGGAGAAAGAGGACCAAACACTGAGGCAGCCACAGTGATTCCTTCGAGAGGTTCTATGATGAAACTTGGGCCTAAGTTAGACAAAACAGTGGGGAAATAAATGCATAGTCCCAAAAGCATCCAATCAGCTAGATGAGCTCTCTTCCCACATCCAAGGGAAGAGAGCTGCAGGGAAGAGGTGAGGCAGACATGCTGTTGCTCTCTAACGCAATAGGTATCCAGACCTGGGGAGGAGGAGAAAAGCTGGAGGATCTAGAAAAAGCAAGAAACTATTGGTGTTGCTAACCTCTAGTGCCTGGCATAACTTTTTAAGTGGAAGATTTCCAACAACATCCACTTGCCTCTACCTGCTAATCATTTCTAATTTTTGTTGTACTCCCTGGGGAAGCAAAAGCAGGGCAGGGGAGCAGGAAAGGTGAGGATATCACATGATATTGACATGTGAGGCTAGACAGGAATCCAGGTGATTCTTAAATCCCTGATTCCCAGCAGGAGCATCTGAACAGATGCGGGGACTCTAGGTAACTTTGGGAGCCACGGAAAAGTCTTTATTTGAGAAAAAGATCGGCTGTCAACCCTTCTTGCCGTCACAGTCCCCTGAAGAGATGATGAAAAAGTGGGGAATTCAGTGGGGAGATAAGGGAGCCCCCAAAAGGGAGAGAGATCAAGTGAAGAAACTTCATTACCAAGAAGCAGTTGATGCCCCCAGGGAAATGGAATGGAATTGTTTCCCTTATTTGAGGAAAAGGCTGCATAATATCTTGATAGGATGTTCTCTTTTGCTGAGCCATGGGCATTGAGAAAAAACAGACTTTCTGCTTTTTATGCTAGATAAAGAAAGGCAGCCGTGAAACTGAAAGAGCCAGCGGGCCACTGGGAGTTGAGGAAGAAAACTGTATATTCTTGGGGGCTTGAGTCAAATACTTTAGACCTGCCAAGCCAGATCATCCTGGATCTTCACCCCTAAGATCCTGTGTTCTGGTCAAGCCTGCCTGTGAGCAAATGCCCTGATCCACCTTCTCTAACTCTATAGCAGATGGAAGGCTTTCGTGGGGGGTCTAGGGGGAGCAAATGAGTTTTTAAGGAATACAGCAAATCTTCACAAATGTCCCCTATACATAAAGCACACTTGAGTCTGAATGAAAACAAGATTCTTAGCTCTCCTGGTCCCCTTTTCCCCTACCAACTCCCTCTACTCTAATATCTCCATCATCAATGCCAGGTGCTGTCCAGGTAGTGGATGTCCCGGGGCTGTTTTCCATCCCCTGTCTGTCTATTCAGTGAAGGGAGGCTGACATGACCACCACAGTCTTCCCCATACAGAGGAGAAAGTATTCCGGTCCCCTTTCACCTCTTCTTCCTATATTTCTACTTCATGGACCTCACGAGTGAAGAAAAAGCTTGAGGTCCTAGAATCTCTCCTGGGGGCGCTTAACATTTCTCTTGGGACCCAGTATGGACTTCCAGTTATCGCTGAATAACTAAAGGGAAATAAGGTTTGCAATCACTAGCCATAACAGAGATTTAAAGAGGTATTACATTCGAATAACAACTCTGTTTGCCAGCTGTCTCCCTCATCATTGTCCCCTTTCCAGAATCACCAACCACCCTGCATGGATATCCTTCTGAGTCAGAGGAAGAAGCTATAACCCTCCAGCTGTAACTGAGTCCTCTGTTGGTTTAGTGGGTTGTTCCCAAGTGTCCCTTTGGCACTACAGAGAGTCAGAAGAAAGGTGCCTACTCAGGTCAGAGCAGAGTCAGCTTCCCCAAATGAGCCACTCCTGGCCTTGACTCCCACTGCATTAGCTAAAGAGACAGCTTGATCCTCTGGGAAATGCTTTCTGCCATCCTTTATCTTCCTCTTTCTCCAGCTCCTCTACCTTTTCACATCACTCTTGCTTTTCAGCTTTAACCTCCCCTCCTGAATTCTCCTCTACCCCCATCCCACTCCTGAACTCCACCCTTTTTAAAGCTGTAACAAGCCTCTTGGACAAGTGTCACTTTTGTATCTCATTTAAATCATTTTATTACCCAAACTCCTCTCCAAATTTTTCCTAACTTAAATCCTGCTTCTCTCTTTCTTTTTTTTAAAATTTAACCCTCACCCCAACTTCCTCGCAATCTTATTTCCTTTAAGCCCTGCCAATTCCTAACATCCCCAGTCACTTAGAACCCATCTCTCTCAGCTTTGCCCCAAAAGGTAGTTTGGATATTCCCGTTCACTCCAACACCTACAAAACCTTCTCAAACGTTGATATCAACCTCTCCTTTTCCCCAAAATCTCCTTGACACAGTTCTACCCCAAGGCATCTTTTCACCCTTTCACTTCACATTATCCTAGTCCTCAGACCCTTACGTGTACCGACTTCCCCCTTGTCTTCTCCTCACACCCACTTGCTTCTCTTCCCAACGCAACAGTCCCCATCTCCTCTTCCCCACTCACTCGGGTCTCCTGCTCAGGACGCCCTTGCCCAGGGCGGCAGGGGATTTGTGCTGAAGGAGGGCTCCGGCAGCAGCGCAACAACTCGGGGGACGCTCCTTTTCCTTGTCGGCCCCGTGTGTCACTGGGTGCTGGTGCGAAGCCTGGGGTGCGTGAGCTCTGCCGCTGGGGCCCGGCTGGGGCTGCGCCAGGAGCTGTCCGTGGTGCTGAAGCGGTGGTTGCTCTGGCGAGGCGGGCGGGAGCTGTCCGTGGTCCTGGAGCGGCTCCTGGGCCGCGGCGGTGGCTAGAGCGGTGGCCGCGGGACCTGGCAGCAAGGCTGGCGACGGGGGCACGAGCCCGGGCGGAGGCTGGGCTTGCAGCAGCTGTTGGTGCTCCCACAGGCTGCGGTTCTCTGCGCTTAACTCGTCCAGCCGTCGCTCCAGCTCGTCGATGCGCTGGCGCTGGGTGTGGATGAGGCTCTGCTGGTTCTGCACGATGGCCGTGAGCTCCTTGAGGTAGAGCACGGCGCGCACCGGGTTCTCCAGCAGGCTCTCCATGCCGCCCGCCGCCGCCTGCGCCCTGCCTGCGCCTCGGCGGGCAGGCGGCGGGGAGCGCGAGGGCGCGCAGGAGCCGAGCAGCCCCAGCGGTCGGCTCGCCTCGCCTCCCTCTCCGCGGGCCCAGCCTCCCTCCCAGCCCGCCGCCGGTGCCACGTCATCGCCACACAGACCTTCTTACGCGCACGAGGGGCGGGGCCGCGGCGCCAGGTCCACCCACCCACCCACTGGTCCTCCCACCTCTCGGCTTCCCGCTGGGCGCAGAGCAGAGGAGGGAGGCCCGGGAGAGCGTGTGTGGCCCGGGGGTGGATGCGAGCCCCGGGGGAGCAGGATACACTAAGGGGACCAAGGGTGGATGACATCAATCCGACAGGCGAGGGTGGAAAAGCCAGCGAAACCAAACCAGCTGTACTAGGAAAAGTGTGACGAGACCAAGAAGAAAAGAAGAGGGAGAGGGGAGAACGAGAAATCAGAAAAGGGGGCGTGAGCGCAAAGGGAGAAAGGGCTATGCTAAAGGGGAGGAAGGCCTGGGACTCTAAAAGGTCATGAATTATTTTTCCTGTGCCTGGCCATCCTAGAGGCTGAGGCCCATCTTTAAAGACCTTCTGAGGAGAGGCCACACCTGCCTCTTATACTGGACAGTCTGTTTTACTGGGGATTCCCTGCAACACGGATCATGGGACTTGAGGGACCCAGAAACACTGAAACCTGCTGCTTCATTCAGCCTGGTAAAAGCAGGACAGAAACTCTGTTCATGCTAGATTTTCTCTGGGAATGAGATCTCTAATAGGAACATGAAGTAAATAAAACAGGATCCCTGTGGCTAATGCTTCCAGAACCTTCTGAAGAGATCATTCTATTTGAGATTTAGGAAGTACATACTATTAGCAAACACTGGACCAGGTGGTGGTAAGACAAGGATGACTAGAGTGGCATCTCTGACTTCTTGAGGCTTATGAATGAGGGATGGAACAGGGACTAATTTTGATACATAGTAGTAGTGGTAGTAATAAGAGGAATGCACAGACTGTTAAAGGGATCTGGGAAGGCTTCTTGGAAGAAGTAACACTTGAGATGGGAAGAGTTTTCCTGGAAGGGAAAATGTCACTGAGGTTTTGCTCAGCATGAAATCATTCATTTCTACAATAATTGTAAAACATCCACTAAATTAACATGATGTACTAGGATCTATGCAGGCTATGCCTTGCTTCGGGCATGAGCTGTAGCTTCTATAATTGAGTAACCTACAATCTAGTAAAGTAGGTGTGGCATGCATGTGGATTAGTAAATCCAAGTCAAGATTTTTGGAAGGTTTTCAAGACAAATGCTATAGGCATTGGGGGGAAGAAGTGTCTGACCATGGAAAACTGGTAAGGCCTGATGGAGGTGTTATCAAGCTGTACCCTGAAGGATGGAAGGATTTCAACAAGTAGACAGTACAGGGGGCACAAAGATGAGGAAGACACATCAATCAACCAGTAGGAAAATACTAAAGAATGGAAATAGAGCCCTTTGGTTTCATTTAATTTGGCAAGGAAATTACTCTTTCCTCTTTCGTAGAAGTGGGTGGGGAAGGAAGCAGGACTACAGGTGGCCCATCAGACTCCCTGTCTACCTGCTGTTCTCCCAGCACAAGCATATTTGTGGATGTCATATAGCCAGTGGCTGGCCCAGCAAAGCCCATCTGGTACCAGACTTGAATGACCTTATGGGAAGGAATTTGTTCTCTGAAAATAAAATTGGTTTCTGTGCATTTCTACTGTTTTTATTTTGCTTTTCTCCCATTTATCTTCCCAGCAAACTTCCTTTTGGAAGGAAGAGAGGGAGGGAGGGGGAGGGAGGGAGGGAGGCAGGGAGTATGGCCACTGCTGAGGCAACTGTTGGGAGCACAGAGAGCCCAAGAGGATGCTTCAGTGGTGATTGGTATTCCAACAACACTTACCTTCCAAATTTTCTTTGCTTGCCTAGTTGATTAGTTCTCCAAAAGTTGGGTACTTGTAGCGACCAATACTATTTTTCTAAGTGGAACAGCTTGTAGCATAATGTATCAGTGGGACTTGTTTAAAATGCAGATATCTGGGTTCCATGAATGTCCTGTGATATTGCAATTACTAGGAATGGGCCCAAGTGGTTTCATTTTCCAACTTTTTTCTTTTATTAAAAAATCACTTTATTGAGTTATAATTTATGTGCTCATTTTGAGTACGCAGCTCAATGAATTTTGACAAATGTACACACCTGTGCAATCACTACTGCAATCAAAACTGTCATCATTGCAGAAAGCAACCTCCTGCTTCTTTACGGTCAATTCCTCTTGTCACCTGCCACAGTAAACTATTTATCTGCTTCCTCTCAAGGGGATTGGACTTTGATCACATGATAAAGCAAGAGCACACAAGGGAGGGGTGAGGATAGGTAAGACACCCAAAAAACTAGATAGCATTTGTTGCCCTCAACGCAGAGAAACTAAAGCAGATACTTTAAAGCAACTGAGGCCAATAGGAGAAGGGGACCAGGAACTAGAGAAAAGGTTAGTTCAAGAAGAATTAACTTAGAAGGTAACACACATGCACAGGAAAGCAATGCGAGTCAACTCCCTGTATAGCTATCCTTATCTCAACTAGCAAAAACTTGGTCCTTTCTATTATTGTTTATACTCTCTCTTCAACAAAATTAGAGATAAGGGCAAAATAGTTTCTGCCTGGTAGCGAGGGGGTAAGGGGCAGAGGGAAGGGGCAGGGGGAGGGGTAGGAAGGGGGCGGGGACAAGGGGGAAGAAATGACCCAAACATTGTATTCACATATGAATAAAAGAAAAAAATTTTTTAAAAATCTCCTTCCTCTCAATATACGTTAGCGTTGCCTGTTACAGAATTTAATGTCAGTGGAACTCATATTGCGTGTACTTTTTGTGTCTTTTTCTTTTGCTTAATGTGGGATTTTTGAGGTTCTTCCATTCTGTAACAAGCATCACTAATTTTTCCTTTTTATTTCTGAGCAGTATTCATAATACACATACCATAATTCTTTCTATAGTCACCTGTTGATGGGTTTTTGGTTGTTTGGTTCTGGTTGAATGAAGTTCCCTATGATCCTTGAAGGACAAGTGTGGACATATGTTTTCATATGTTTTGTCAAGAATAAAAATCTAGAATTGGAATTGCCAGGTTGCATGAAATTTCATATTGTAATGAATGAGAAAGTGCCAAATTACTTTTCTCAGTGGTTGAACTACTTTTTTTTTTTTGCAGTACTGGGGTTTGAACTCAAGGCCTACACCTTGAGCCACTCCACCAGCCCTTTTTTGTAATGGATTTTTTTCAAGATAGGTCTCACAAACTATTTTCTCAGGTTGGCTTTGAACCAAGATCCTCCTGATCTCTGCCTCCTGAATAGCTAGGATTATAGGCGTGAGCCACCAGCACCTGGCTGTCTTCTTATTATTGAATATGTCCCTTATGTGTCCTGGAAAGCAGTCTTTGTCAGATGTATATATTGCAAATATTTTTCTCAGTAGCTTGACTTTTCATTTTATTAACATTGTCTTTTGAACAGAAAAGTCTTTAATTTTGATGAAAACTTACAAATTTTCATTTATGGTTCATGTGTTTTTGTGTCCTATCAAAAATTATTTCCTATGTCAAGGGAAAGTATGTTCCCCTGTATTTTCTTCTGGAAGTTTTATAGGTATTGCTTTTATGTTTAGGTCCATGATCCATTTTAGGGTAATTCCTGGTGTTTGGTATAAAGAATCGAGGTTCATTTCTTCCTTGAGTGTTTGATAGACTACCACTGAAGCCATCTCAGTCTGAAGGTTTTTTTGTTAAGAGTTTTATGAGCTTATTCAGATATTTCATTTCTTTGTGTATTCATTTGCTAACTTGTGGCTCTGCTAGGCAGAATAACCTCCAAAGATGCTCACATCTTAATCCTTCAAAACTGTAAGTTTGTTGTTTTCGATGGCATAACAGACTTTAAATACGTGATTATGTTAGGGCTCTTTGAAATGGTCAGATTATCCTGAATTTTCTAGGTGATCCCAATGCAATCCCAAGTCTTCTTCAAAGTTCAAAGGAAGACCTGACAAGCCAGAGGTGGAAGTCAGAATGATGTCATTGCTGTCTGGGCGAACCAGAAGCAAGAAATGCAGGCATCCTGGAGCAACCAGAAAAGAGAAGGAAAACAGATTTTCTTCTAGAGCCTCCAGAAGGACCACAGTCCTGCCGATCCCATGATGTCAGCTGGGTGAACCCATTTTTGAAACTGTAATGAATAATGTTTGTTGTTTTCGGTTATGTTCATGATCATTTATTTTAATAGCAATAAGAAACTCACATAAGATCTTTTAAGAAATAGGAATTATTTCATTCTGAGTTGTCAACTTGTTGGCATGACTTCTTTTAATTTGGTATCTGTGGGATGGTTTTTTTTTTTTTTTTCTTTTTTTTGAACCCTGATTTTTTTGGGGGGGAGGTGGAGACTGGGTAGGGTCTCATTTTCAGGCCAGGTTGGCATTGAACCACAATCCTATTTACACTTCCAGTGTAAGCTGGGATGACAGGTGCATCCACCACACCCAACTTTTTATTGGTTGAGATGGGGGGTCTCACTGTTTGTTGGGCTAGCCTGAAACTGCATTCCTCCAATCTCTAACTACCAGGGTCTAGCTAGGATCGAACAGGCACGAGCCGCTGTGCAAGCCATATTGGATTTTGGGAGGGGGCTATTGTATCTTAAGTCAGCATGGGTAGGGATTATCCATTTTTATGATATTTTCAAAGAACTAGATTTGGTATCATTGCTTTTTCTCTATTGCTTGTCCATTTTCTATTTTACCAGTTTCTACTATGACCTTAGTATTTCCTTTCTTCCACTTACGTTCGTTTTCATCTGCTCCTCTCTTCCTGGCTTGTTAAGGTGGAAGATTGCACTATTGATTTTACACCTTTCTTCTTTAGTAAAAACTTAAACTCCAAAGTTCTCACCAAGCACTGCTTTAGCTGC